TCATCCACGTACCAGTCCGACTCCCACTCCCAGTGCCGCGAGGGCAGGGCCACCCCGTCCAGCGGCCGGTGCTGGAGGCCACTCACGTCACTCCACTGCCGGCGGTCACTGGGCAGGAACTTCTCACAGAAGCCACCCACGGGGTTCCAGCGCTGAGGGCCGGGAAGCAGAGACGGGCCTGAGGCCTGCCGCCGGCCCGGGAGAGTGGGACCCCGCCACTAGGGGGCCTTCCTGCTGATCCCCAGGATGGAGAGGGGGCAGAGGCTCTGCCCCGAGCGCAGGATCAGGGCCTCCCCAGGGCTCGTCACCGAGGGCCAGCACTTGGGCATGGCCCCCAAGGGCAGAGAACCTGCTGCGGGCCACGGAGCCCCGAGGGGCAGGCAGCAGAGGTCAGGTCCAGGTCCCGGGCTCCTGGAAACCACCTGGAGCCCACCCTCGTGCGCACCTGGCCAGCCTGCCTTTATAAAGACACAACGGGGGCTCCGAACGCTATAGAACCCAGACTGGAAGCAGAATGCAGGACACGAACGTCTGGGGCGGGCCGACTTCCTTCCCAGAAAACCGACCCGAGGCGGCCACCCAACACACGTGGCCCCACCTGATTCTCATAGGCCTCCTCCCGGCGGCGGATGGGGACGTCGCTGGCGCACACGTAGACGTAGACCTGGTTGTCGCAGGCGATGCCCCAGCAGCACTGCGTGGTGGCGCTGACGCGCTTGAACTCCAGCGGGCTGTCCCTGCAGAGCTCCCAGTACTGGCCCGCCGTGGACAGCGTGTACACCTTCCCGAAGAGATCCACGGCCCACAGCACCGAGTTGGGCATGGCCGCGGCGGCCCGGGGAGAGCTGGAAGCAGGGGGCCGGGTCAGTGTCCGCCCCAGCTCCCGGCGCCGGAGCCTAGGGCACGTTTTCCTTGCTTGTTCTTGCTTGCCCTCTAATGACGGGCATTCTTTTCAAACGTAGAAAGACGTACAGAGGGGAAAAAAAATTGCATCTACCTCCCCAAATCTAAAGCATATCGTTATCTGGTCACATCTCCTCCCGATCTTTCTTGTCAAAAGAATAACGGCAAAGTCGTGGATTTAGTTCGATCCTATGCCCATCGCTGCCTCCCCAGGAGGCCTCTGCCCCACGGTGGGCAGATCCCCTCATTTATGCTGGTCTTACTGCTGACAATCCTATACGGGTTTGGTAAAAGCATCCCCATGGGTCTGGCACCCCAGCCAGGTCCTGCGGGAGCCCTGCAGCTGCATGGCGGGGATGTGAGGATCCCGTCTTGGACCCCCTCTGCGTGACCACCACCCTCCCCTCCTTAGCCCCTCCCCATCTGCCATCCTCCACTCCTGCTCCTTTTTCTGTCCTCTTCCTTTCTGCCCTGCCCCCCCCCACAAGGCGATTGGTAAGTTCTATCACTGGCCACGCCCACACCTCCAGGGCTGACTGTGCTGGTACTCCCCGGGGTCCGATTCCTGGAGCCTGGCTTCTGGTAGGGTCAAGCCTCCTACCAAGGCAGGGCCACAAGGTCAAAACCTCAGCAGCGAAACAGAGCAGCTGGATGACAACGGCCTGGGGGTGGGGGGCAGTGAGAAGTTCTGCCTACACTGCCCCAGGGCCAGGAAGGAGGGAAGAGCTACTGGGAGACGGGCAGTGGTAGGCCGGGTGCCTCGAGGCTGCTGGGCCAGGCTGTGGGCGCTTGGGACAGTGTGACGGATGCAAAGTGGCTGAGAACAGGAGCATCTGCTACAGGCACATAGGCTTTTCTGGAACAAAGCGTGTCTTACAAACACCAAGAAGAGAGCAGGCTGGGGAGGAAGTAACCAAGGGATGAGGAAGAAGGGAAGCAGAAGGAATAGGAGCCACACGTTGGGAGACACCCCAGAACCGTGACCTCTCCGCCCTGGTACTTCGTCCCGGTCAAACACATGGGAAGTCACAACACCAGCCTTCTGGAGCCATTTGAAAACCGGTATCTGCATCCAGATGGAAGAGCTCTGGTAACCCCAAGACACCCGCTCGCTCCTGCCTGGCCAAGCCTGGGGGTCCGCTCTCCCCCTCTGGCATCTGCACTGTGGGCTGTTGGAATCTGGGTCCGGGCTCCATCCCTCCCTGGCACCACCGGGAGCCGACTAACCTCTCTATGCCTCGATTTCTTAATTCGTTAAAGGCGGAGAGGAATGCCGACCTACTTACGAAGTCGTTGTAAGGATGAAGTGAGATAATACAGGTATGGAGCCTGTGATAGGGGCCGGTCCGTGGCAAGAACTCCATGAGCATTACTGGTGTCGTTCATTACTTGGCACCTGCTATTACACACTACCGCTGATCTATCCCTTAGAAAACAGAAAAAAATCAAATCCCCTCCTCCTCAGCCTGAGTCTTCAGCCTCTTCATTTCCAAAGCACCTAACAGTACTCTGCACATAGTGGGTGCTCACCCAAAGTTTATCGATAATCACCACCACCTCCATCCATGGCACGGCCAACTCCCTGAGCTAAGATGGAAATACTGCTCCAGGGAAGCCAAATATCACCAATGACTTAAGGTTTAAGGTAAGGTCATGATAGGTGGATAGATATGGGATAAAACAAGTATAGTAAAAGATCAATAGTAGAATTCAGGTGGGGGCATAAGGGCGTTTACTGTATAATACTTTAAACTTGGCCATGTGTTTGAATATCCTCATCATAAACTGTTGGGGGGAAAAGTAAGAATTATGGGGGTAAAGGGAATGCTGGCTCCTGTGATGTCATGTGAATATAAATCCATCTCTCAGGCCAACAGTTCACTGTATAAGAAACCAGTGAAGTCAGGCCATCTCTAGGTTGAGCTCAATGAATAGTGACTTCCGCTTACTCGATACACTTCCCTTCAGAGAAATGACTAAGCACTAATTTCCAAATAGACACAACTGAACCTTCTGGGCAGCTAACAAAAGACCCTACTGCAGAGAAAGGACAGGATGGGGGTTTATGTTTGCAAAGTCCCTTCAGAGTGGACACACAGGCACCATCGCCTCCTGGCTAAAGAGGATAGGGGTGAACATCCTTGGCCAGCCTCACCCCCTTTCTGCTCGTGCCAGGATGCCACCCCAGCTCCCTATATACCAATTCCTGGCTCTGAGGTGACCAGGTAATCAGTCCAGGGACACTGGGTCACTGGGTCAGAGGACTCTCGAAAGGGAGGCTTGAGCATTAAGTCCCATGATTCTGGGATCCTGGGATTTCTTTGTTTTGTAGGGCCAGAGAGAATACTTTCCAAGAAAGCAACCTTGGATTCACCAAGAATTTTTGTACAATGAATTCCAGGTGGACCTTCAGTCAATCCACTTGGAGGTCACCTGCTCACCATCCTCAGAGCCAACTACCTTTCTGTGCAGGTTTACTAATAGATCCCTTCAGAGACCAAAAGGTCCTCCAGGGAAGGTGAGGGTGGGGAAAGTAGGGCCGGGGTATGGCAGAGAGAGGGACACAAGGGACCAAGGGAGCTCCCGAAGCATCTATTTCCCTGCATCTGCCTTAGGGCTCCTTCCCGAAAGGTTTCCTGTTGGTTTTTCTATTACACCCTGTCACTCCCACCCCTTGAGCAAACACAGAGCCCTGACTTCTGACGGTTGCTTACTGCCTGCCACTTGCGGGGGCTGTTGGAAAGCGACATCAGGGTCCCAAGATGCGGGAGAAAATGGCAGGACATGCCCGGTAGTTGAGTCCTTCCTGAAGCAGGGTCGGCTGGCCGCACTGGGCAGGAGATGCCCTGAGCCGGCAATCTGGGGACGAACTCCACCCCATCCCACCCCGCATCATCGCGGCCGGGTCAGTCTGCTTTCATTCCGGTTCCGTGCACTTGGGCGACAGGTGGGCCCCCTGCCCGGCCACCAGGGGCATAGTCGGAGCGCCCGGCCCTCACCATCTGCCCGTGCTAATCCCACAACACGCAGATTTGCTCCTACCGCTGCCTCGGGGAGGGACAAACGCGCTCCTCGCAGGCGATCCTCTAAATCCGCAGGCCCCAGCAACCCGCTCCCCAAGTCGCTCCAGCGCAAAGGCTGGAGCGGGGGCGTCACCGGGCGTTCTGGGGGATGGCGACGGCGCCCCGCACGGTGTGCAGGAAAGCGCACGAGCACAACCTCTCCCACCCAAAGCGCCGCGGGGAGAGGAGGATCCCCAGGCCTCCGCCGCCCCAACCCGCCCGGAGAGGCCGGGCGGTGCCGCCGCCGCACTCACCTGGGCTGGCGCCCGGCGGGCGGAGTCGCGGCGATCGCTCGTCGGCGGCCGGGCTAGCGGGTCGGCCCTCCCCCGGCTGCCAGGGCTAGGGGGCGGGCAGGAAGCGGCCGTCAGGCCCGCGCCCATTGGCCGGCCTCGCCGTGACGCAAGGCCGGGCGCGCGCGATTGGCTGCGGCGCACCGCGTCACGCGCCCGCCTGGGGGTCGCGCGCCCACCCACTTCCGGGCTCGGGGTGGAGCAGGGGCCGCGGCCGGCTGGTGCGGCGAGGTTTCCGCGCGCTCCCGGGGGCCAAGCGGGCCCGCGGACCACCGACGCCCCCAGAACCTCCCGCCGCCACCAACCCCGAGACCCCCTGCCGCCCCCCAGAACCCGGCCCGTCGTTTCTTCGGGACCCGCCCGCCGCCTCCCGGCACCTGCCCGCCAGCCTTGTGTTCTCAGGACGGAAGGCGAGGAGGGGGCGGCGGGGAGGGCCCGAGGCGGGGGTGGGGTGGGGGGTGCGGGGGGCGCGGCCCTGTGGCGACCGGAGGTGGGAGGAGGAGGAGAGCCGGCGGGCGCAGGTGGAGGCAGCTGTCGAGGTGGCTGCCCTTCGAACTGGCATGTCGCCGTTGAGCACGCAAACCCGGAGCTTTAACGTCCTCGGAGAGTCTCCAGACTTGGGATCCTGGGAGGACAGCGTGCGCTGGTGGCGGTAACAGGCCGCTGTTCTGTTGAGGCTCCGGTGTGGCCAGTGGCCGGAACCCTGACGGGAGGCGGGCCAGCCTCGCACCTCGTACCAGCTCAGACGTGAGCGCTCTGCCGTCTGCCGGCCCGGGTGGAAGTGACGCGCCCGCACCTCTCCATCCCCTCGGCAGCCCGGGAGCTACCCCGCAGTTAGGATGGAGATGGAAACCAAAACGGGAGACGTGCTGCCGACTTAGAGGCCGAAACGCTGTGGCTTGGACCTGGTTCCCCTTCCTCCCGCTCCGGTGCTCGCCCTTGCTCCTCTCCGAGGATGCAGACCGGCTTTCCCCCCCGTGGTGACCGCGGAAGCCCGGCACGGGCCGACTCCGCTGAGACGAAAGGCAGAAAAGTCTCTGATTCATCCTGCATGGCTTTGTGGTCTTGTGTGCAACCTTCAGTGTGGCTTTTGTGGACTGGCTCAGTCTGGAGATGTGGGTTACCAGGCGCTGTATGTTTGTGTCCCCCTAAAGTTCGTACATGGAAACCTTCATCCTCAGTTGGGTGGTATTTGGTGATGAGGCCTTGGGGAGGGGGTTGGTCATCGGGTCACGGGGGTGGAGCCCTCCTAAGCAGGTAGTGCCCTTATGAGAAGAGACACGTAAGAGCCCACGCCCCCTCCCCTCGTGAGGATACAGTGAGAGGTGGCTGTCTACCAGCCAGGAAGGAGGCTGTCACCAGACGCCAGACCTGCTGGCGCCTGGACCTTGGACTTCCAGCTTCCAGAACTCTGAGGGATGGGTGTTTGTGGTTTCAGCCCCCCAGTCTGGTATTTTTGTTATAGCAGCCCCAGGGGACTAAGACCCGTGGTGGGAGGGCTCAGTGAGGCCAGGGTGCTGTTAGCAGGAGGACGAGTGGCTGCCAGACAGCAGAAGCAGTAGTCTGGAGGTGGGGGGGACCTGTACTCTGTTCTGTCGGTGACCGTTTGTAGCCATTTCTCCTATCTGGCCTCAGTTTCCACGTTAAAAGAAGCATTGAGTTAGGAGCGCTCCATCGTCCTTGGCAGAGCTCCTGTGCTGTGACAGAATTCAATACCAGTTTCCCTGAACTCAGAGTCTGACACAGTGGAACTTCTGGGGACCCACAGTCCTCCCCGGGGGCACCACCCCCACGCCCCACCCCCACGCCCCACCCCCAGTCCTTTCAGCCTTTGCAGAGCTGACTCTCTTCAATTGTCAGGAGGCCTGCATTTTTCTGCCCTCGCCACAGCTGATAGTCCTTGTTCCCATATCTGCACTTTTGTTTTAACCTTCGTTTCTTGTTTCTTGTCTATCCTCCTTGCCACGTCTCTCCTGGGCCAGACACAGTAGGTTCATATCCCAGCTCCGTCACTTACGAGACGAGTCACTACACCTCTGAGCCTGTGTCCTCGTCTGTAACGTAGGAATAACACCACTTGTGTCTTTGGGTTGGAGGGAGGACGAAATGAGAAGAGTACGTGAAGTGCTTACAAGCACTCTCATATGACTAGTATTGTTATTATAGTCTCTGCATATTTGGGTTCAAGGCACTTGGCCATTTGCATCAAGTATTAGAGTTTCAGAGGCAGCACTGGGTTCAGCAGCATTCCAGATGATTGATAGAGGGCTGCTTTCAGGATGATGGACATTGCTGTATCTGTCTCTCATATTTGGGTCACGGAGGGATGGCTGGATAGATGACAGGCTGGGCGGTCTGGATTTCCCCCAACACTTGCCCGTCAGTCACAGGAGAGAGCTCAGGCTTTCCAAATGGCTGGCTCTTCCCCACCATTTCTACCTTCCACTGTAACCTCAGTTCTGTGGCAGCTTCTGTGAACCTTTAAGCCAGCCTTGGCAGAACTGGCTGCTGTGCTCCTGGCCCCATCAGACTTCTAAACTTCTACGCAGCCCCCACTGTCCCACATGCCGTACCCACCCTCCTTCTACTGTCCATTCTCATTCAGCCTTAAGTCTCAGATCAAAGGTCAGCTCTTACTAAACCCAAAGAAAAGCAGACGTGGGTTATTTTGCCCTCATATTTTGTATGTTCTTGATTCTGGCCCCCCACATACTGTCTTATAATTGTTTTTCTGTCTATATCCCTGACCACATTGCAGTATGTTTGAGGGAGTGACTTAATGATATTTTTTTAAGATTTTATGTGTTTATTTGAAAGAGAAAGAGCATAAGCAGGGGAGAGGGGCATAGGGAGAAGCAGACTCCCTGCTGAGCAGGGAGCCTGATGTGGGGCTCAGTCTCAGGACCCCAGGATCATGACTTGAGCTGAAGGCAGACACTTAACCGCTTAACCGACTGAGCCACCCAGGTATCCCAAGGGAGTGACTTTCTTATTCGTATTGGAATTTCCAGGGCTTAGTAATTGCCTAACACATAATAGGTATTCGCTTTTTATTAAAGGAATTAATATCCCTGCCCCAGGTCCCCAGATAATGGGTAAGTCTTGCACTGAAAAATGTTGGAAGAGCCTGAGCAAAAAGGGCAGAGATGAGCAGAACTGGCCCACACACATCGCTCCTCTGTCCATTTCATCCCCCACCTCCACCAACAACGAACATGGCCACCTTGGCCCTTTCTTTTTTTTTTTAAAAGATTTTATTTATTTATTTGACAGAGAGAGACACAGCGAGAGAGGGAACACAAGCAGGGGGAGTGGGAGAGGGAGAAGCAGGCTTCCCGTGGAGCGGGGAGCCCGATGCGGGGCTCGATGCGGGGCTCAATCCCAGGACCCTGGTATCATGACCTGAGCTGAAGGCAGACGCTTAACGACTGAGCCACCCAGGTGCCCCGCACGTTGGCCCTTTCTTAACATGGCTTCCAGTAGGCTCCGCATGCGTTAAATGGAGGTGGTAAGGTTGTTCCTAAGATCTTTCTGGTGGCCTGTCCTTTTGCTAACTACTGTTCGATTTTTCCTTTCTCTATGGAAACTCATTTGCTAGGAGTAAGCTCTTAATCACGAGTGGTTCATGGTACTTTCACTTTAAATCTGTTTACAGTTTTTCCACCCTTTGTAAAGCTGATGAGTCAGATGTCTGGCCGTGATCCTGATAAGGTAGGCCCCTGGACAGCCTTGCTCCTGGACTTCAGTTAGCCCTTCTCACTACTCAGCCAGTACGGCCCTGCTCCCGATAACCCACACTGTTCAGAGTTACATAGGTGCTAGATGAAGCAGTTAAAAATGTGGTGTTCTGGGCGCCTGGGTGGCTCAGTTGGTTAAGCGACTGCCTTCGGCTCAGGTCATGATCCTGGAGTCCCAGGATGGAGTCCCGCATCGGGCTCCCTGCTCAGCAGGGAGTCTGCTTCTCCCTCTGACCCTCCCCCCTCTCACGCTCTCTCTATCTCATTCTCTCTCTCAAATAAATAAATAAAATCTTAAAAAAAAAAAAATGTGGTGTTCCCCCCATCTCTGGCAGAGGAAAACATGCAGAAACCATCTGTTAAAAAGGACAACTGAAAGTTCATGTATGTGCATGTCCTGATTCGCAAAGGCAACAGTGCCTTAAAGTGAAGAAGTGATGTTTTTGTTTCTAAGAGGAAACCTACAACACCTAAAATCTAAAACTTAAACAGACAATGAACTAAACCTGGAAGCCAGTGTTAGTCACCGTCCCAGTTGTCTGATCTCCGCCTGGTTATACAAACTCACGCAGACATGGCCAAGTCTAGCATTCATTCAACAGCCATCTTTGGAGTGCTTACAATGTTAGATTAGTGCTAGCGCGGGTGGGGATTCAAATCGGCCAAGAGACCTTTTCCCCTAGAGCTGAAAAGGTCCAGTGGGGGAGAGAGAACTATATTAGAAGCCAGGAAAGACTATAACCTGTAGGGGTGTACTTGATTGTTTGTATAAAGGTGGTTAATTCGAGGCTAAGGAGGATAAACTGATAAGGTCAGTGGTGAAGTACAAGGGTCAGGAGTAGACAAAGAAAACCCAGGTTAATTTGCTTAACATAAATTCTACTCCAGGAAGCAACATAAAGCTTGCACTCATACCTTAAAGTCCTTAGCTTTTATGTACCAGTAGGTATACGGGTCTGTTTATCTCGTGGGCCAGAAGCTTCTCATGAAGAACTTTATACTTCTTGTACATATCACTCTGCACTAGACCCCATGACCGCTACTGGTTGATAGTAATTGGAAGAATTTTTTTTTTTTTTTAAGATTTTTATTTTTAAGTAACTCTACACCCAGTGTGGGGCTTGAACTCACAACCCCAAGATCAAGATCCACCCGCTGCACTGACCGAGCCAGCCAGGCTTCCCAGGAACTTCTAATGGCAGTAGACTCACAGAATGTGCAAAATCAAACCATAATCTGTGTTATACTTGTATGTAAAAGAAACATACTATATATTTGATTCCAGAAATATAATTTGTCGAACAAGCCACTTGTACCTAAACTGTCTTTCACTGCGTTTTACAATCATTTACACAAATGAAGTTTATCATTAGCCTGCTCTGGAGTGAGGTTTCCTATCTCAAACCCCGTCAGCTCTCTTTCCAGCACAGAAATGGAGCTCCGCTGACAGTTGCCGCAGGTAGGGTCTGCCCTGGTGGTAGCTGAGAAAGAAGTTCCTGGCCTCAGCTCTCCCGGGCTTACCACGGCTCTCCCAGGAAGGCAGTGCATCAAGGATGGGTGCCACCAGCCACAGACCCAAGCGGGCCCTTCTGAGGCATTCTGGTATGCTTCCCTGTACCTGTCCAAGAACCAGTCATCTGTCGTGGCTAGAATTAGAATTCACTGCTGCTAACTTGTTCCAAGAAGAAAAGCTTAAAGAAATTTTCAGACACTTTTAGGAGTAAAAGGGGATGCTCACTAGAAGAGATGCCAGGACAGGTAGTATAAACCTAGATATATGGCTACTCTAATTATAGATTTAAATGTGAAAAACAAAACTTCTGGAAGATAATATAAGAAATATCTTTTTTTTTTTTTTTTAAGGTAGGCTCCACGCCCAGCATGGAGCCCAACAAGGGGCTCGAACCCACGACCATGAGATGAAGACCTGGGCCAAGATCAAAAGTCAGACACTTAACCGACTGAGCCACCCAGTGCCCCCATATAAAAATATCTTAAAGATTTTGAGGTAAGGAATGATTTCTACAAAAAAGATGTAGAAAGCACCAACTATAACGGAGGAGATGGACACCATTAAAAGGGTAAAAAGGCAAGCCACAAAGCAGAAGAGATTTGCAATACGCATAACCAACAAAGGGCTAGGATCCAGAACATAGAAAGAAGTGCCAATCAGTAAGAAAAAGACAAACATTTAAATTGTGAAAAAGGTGAAGGACCTGAACGGGCACGTAAGAAGAAAGAGGAAATACAAATGGCCAATAAACATGAGAAAGTGCCCAACCTTAGCGGTAGGCAGGGGAATACAAATTAAACCCACAAGGAGTTGCCTACCAGATAGGCCAAGTGGAAGCAGAAGTTGGTGCTATCACCGGGGAAGTCAGTCTGACCTTATCTCGTGAAGTGGAAGATAGGCCTGCCCTGTGGTCAGCAGTGCCTTTGCTCATACACGCACCAGGAGCACAGGTGAGAACATTCTCAGCAACATTGTTTCTTTCGGCTCAAAGTGTCCCGCGGCCGTGGCATGATGAGTAAGTGTGATGGAGTCATATAGCGAGTGTTAATGGGTAACCGAAAGTGAAGTACAACTAGATGCAACAACGTGGGTGAACGTAGCACGTATGGTGACTAAAAAAAGCTAGCCTCAGTCGTTAGGCGTCTGCCTTCGGCTCGGGTCGTGGTCCCGGGGTCCTGGGACCGAGCCCCGCATCAGGCTCCCTGCTCTACGGAAAGCCTGCTTCTCCCTCTCCCACTCCCCCTGCTTGTGTTCCCTCTCTCGCTGTGTCTCTCTCTTCAAATAAATAAATAAAATCTTTGGGGGAAAAAAAAAAAGCTAGCCTAAAGGAGTACATATGATCCCTTTTGTATGCAAAGTTCGAAAATAGGCAAGAATTTAATTATAATATTTGAGGATGTATGTTTATAGTAAAAATATAAAAATAAGTAAATGGTTACCATAACATTACCATAAAAACCAGGATGTGGATGCCTTCGGAGCACCAAAGGGACATACTGAAGCTTTGGGATTGTTGCCAGTGTTTTAGTTCTTGACCTGGGCAGTGGTTACATAAGTTTTGCTTTATGATAATTCATAACATTTTTGTCTCAGACGGTCTTCTCTATTTTATAATTTAAAAAGGTTTATTTTTGGGGTGCCTGGATGGCTCATTCGGTTAAGCGTCTGCCTTCGGCTTGGGTTGTGGTCCCGGGATCCTGGGATGGAGCCCTGCATCAGGCTCCCTGCTCAGCAGGGAGTCTGCTTCTCCCTCTCCCTTTACCCCTCTCCCCTGCTCGTGTTCTCTCTCTCTCAAGTAAATTAAAAAAAAAACAACCTAAAAACTAAAAAAAATCCAGAAAACCCTGAGCATTTAAAATAAATAAATAAAATAAAATAAATTTTCCCCCCAAAGGACATATGGTTAAAGCAACAGTCCTAGTTTTACCTGAAGGAGATAACTTACCAGTGACGGCGTCACACAGGATTTTTAAAAATGTTGTAGCTCAAATAATCCAGAAAAAAAGACAAGATGACGTGCCCTAGAAATCTATTTGAGGGCGCGGAGAGCGCGCTGGCATGATGGTGACACCGGGGTGATAGCGACATGAAAAGACGTTTGAGGCGTTTCCAGAAAAGTAAGAGTGAGAAACATTTTCAGAACATTCATACATGTATCTCTGATTTGAAATGTGTACGTAAAACCAAGTTAATAAATAGTACAAGTTGCCGTCCATTTCATTTTTATTCTCAAAAAGTTGAGCACAAGTCAGCCACATCTTTTCTGGGAGCTTCCCAGGGGAAAGAAGAGCGCAGTCTGCGTTGGGACAGTCCCAGTAGCTGTTACCAGCCCCATCTGACGAATACAAAGGAAGAGTCATTTGCTGATGTTCACACAGCTAATTTTCAAATTTCTGGGGTTGCAGACCTAAAGGTGGACGGGAATCCACGGCAATGGGAAGCGTGTAACTCACAGCATGGACGGCAGCCTGGAAAACCAGGTTCAGCAAACAAGGGGGAACGAGGGCCCCCGAGAGCCACCATCACCGTGCCCTTCGTGCCGCAGCAACAGCCCGACCGGGGTGCGGGCATTGGTGCTGTGGGAGTTGCCCCGGGGCCACGGCCTCCTCCCCGTTCTGGACCCGGCACGGGGGGCACGCATTCCAGTCTGTCCATTCTCTCTGTCACGCGCTGCAGACCCGAAGTCCCAGGCTCAGGTGTCCATTGGGCCAACATCAGCTCTTCCGCCTATGCCTTAGGGACTTGGGGTTTGAGGGAGCAAGGATCTCACCTTTTAGGGTCCCTCCCAAGATTCCCAGAATATCTGGGCAACAGAAGGTAGTTCACACACTGAATGGTCAGAAATGGCCATTTTCATTTTCCCTTTAGAGGCGGGTGGTGACAAGGCCAGGACCAGTGCCCAGGACAGCACGCATTTCCACTGTCCCTTCTGTGTTTCTTTGGACCTGGGGGTGAGATGGGGGGCAAACCCCAGTCACCAGTGGCAATATCCTCACCCCCTCGTGTAGTCGCTGGAGTCAGATCCCAACAAGGGGCTGCAGATGGGAACCTGCTGAGGTCACCACAAGAATCAGTCCCAACAGCAGCTCTTGAGTTATTTTTAAGCCAGTCAACAGCAGGCCAAGGACAGGGTGGGTGCAGGTACAAAGAGAAATACTCCAGGCTCCTGCTCTAATCTCTTAAAACATCAGGTGGGGGCACCTGCGTGGTTCAGCTGTTCGAGCGTCTGGCTCTTGGTTTCCGCTCACATCATGATCTTAGGATCGTGGGATCTAGCCCCGCGTCAGGCTCTGCACTCAGCACGGAGTCTGCTTGGACCTCTCCCTCTGCTTCTCCCCCTGCTTATGCTCTCTCTAAAATCAGTTAATTAATTAATGTAAAAAAAAAATTAGCTGTATGTTATGCTGCCTTTAACATAAGGTCTTATTATAGAATTCCTGAATTCCTCTTTCTAGTCCTCCTTTGTAGTTCCAAGTGTATGTTTTAAGGGTGAAGTGCTCTATGATCTTTTCCCAATTTATATTTTGCAGTTGTTATCACTCTTTATCCCTAAATGATGAAAATCATCAATTAAAGGAAGCTTTAGGAACGTCAACTTTGGGGTTGTTTGACAAGCTACTTCACGGTGTGGTATAGTTCTTTAGGCATTGTAAGTACTCAGTAAATGCTGGAGAGGGGCTGGAGGTGGGGCAGGTAGTGGAAGTGATTTGGAGAAATGGGAGAGAGAATGTATTTGATTTAGATATGGAGAGGCCTCTATAGGCGGCCAGTATGTCTCCTGCTCCAAAGGTAATGAAGTTGAGAAAAAATTTATAAAGGAAATTTCTCCAGAAACCTAAAAGGACCAGGACCAAGGACCAGAGCAGGGTGGGATCCCTGACCAGGGCCTCTGGGCAGCCAAGAAGGCAGGTAAGCTGGCCCCAAAACCACGCAGGAGTCCACTCTCAGTGCAGGTGGAAAGGAGGGACTTAGACAATTAGGTGCATGAGCCAGGCCACTCTGTGGGCCCAGACTGTTGTCCTTACTTGACCAAGGATGACCCTGGGGCTTGGGGAGGTCACCCGGCCCAGAGGCAGCTGGGATTCAACCTTTAGGCACTTGGCCCCAGAGCCTGTGTTGTCATCCCTAATCTCCTGCCTCTCTGTGCAGTTTTAGGATTTCTCTGATGGAGCTACATCTTAGCAGGGGCCTGAATAAAGGAGTGAGGACATGAGTGGCGCGCACAGCGGGAATGTCACGTGCAGCAGCCCGGGACCAGCGAGGAGGCAGATGGCTGGAGTCCAGGAGACATGAGGCTGAGTAACAGTGAGCTCAGAGAGCCTGGAGGGAGAGGGCCGATGGGGTTAGGGCAGAGCCGTGCATTCATAATGAAGCCCAAGGGATGCGTTACTAAGTGTGCCCAAGTGCAGTTGTAAGTGCAGAAGGTAAGAGATTGCTTAATGTCCGCTGCTTTCATTAAGTAGGTGTGGACACAGACCCCAGGGTGGCCCCATGATCTCTACCCCCTCTGTCCCCTCCTTTGTTGTGGGCTGGCCTGTGACTTTCCTCTAGCTAGTAGAATACTGCAGAGATGCAGGGATTTGGCAGATGTAATTAAGGTCCCAAATCAGATTTTGAGTTAATTAGAAGGGAGATGATCCTGGGTGAGCTCAGCTTAATTAGATAAAAGCCCTTTTAAGAGGGACTTGGGCTTTTCTGAGGCTAGACACTCGCTCCTGCTGGCCTTGCAGAAGCGAACAGCCATGTTGTGAACGGCCTCTGGTGAGGGCCATATGACAGGGGACCTCAGGCAGCCTTTAGGACCCGAGGGCGGCCAACAACCAGTCAGAAGCTGGGGCCCTCTGTCGTCAGCTGCAAGGAAATGTTTCCAGCCAACAGTCGAATGAGCCCAGCAATGAGTTCTTCCCCACTCACACTTCAGGTGGGGACACAGCCTGGCGACACGTTGGCTGCAGGCTTGTGAGACCCTGAGCAGAAGACCCGGTGAGGCCGTGCCCAGACTCCTGACCAACAGACACTGTGAGATAAGAAATGTGCATTGTTTTAAGCTGCTAAATATGTGTAGTGTAGAAAATGAATACAGTAGATTTCTAACATACATATATACACATACAGATTTGTGTGTGTGTGTGTGTTGATTTCCCCCTGATGATAAAGCAATGCTTTGTACTTGTTTCTGTCAGTGTAAGTAGAAACAGCTAAATGCATGGGACCAAGGAACAAAGCCAGTGGCCCCAGAAGAAGCAGGAACAGTCAGTGCTGGTGATTATTCATGAGAGCAGGCACGTGCCTGCCCCAGTGCTCGCACACAAGCCAGGTAGTGAGCGGGCTTCACAGCACGTCCCCAGGTAGGCAGTATGTCACCCAAGTGTCCTCAAGAGAAGACATCACCGTGAAGATTCAGTCCTTCATTTCTGGGCGATAAAATTTCTAGAGGCCTTGCTAATTTTAATACAGTGCTAACAAGGCAGGGCACCTGAGTGGCTCAGTCCGTTAAGCGTCTGCCTTCAGCTCAGGTCATGATCCCAGGGTGCTGGGATCGAGCCCTGCAGCAGGCTCCCTGCTGCCCCTCCCCCTGCTTGTGCTCTCTTGCTCTCGCTTACTCTCTCAAATAAATAAAATCTTAAAAAAAACTTGAACAAAACCACTGCTAATAAGGCAAACATATATATATATATATATATATATATATATATATATATATATATATATATATATTTTTTAAAGATTTTATTTGACAGAGACACAGCGAGAGAGGGAACACCAGCAGGGGGCGTGGGAGAGAGAGAAGCAGGCTTCCCGCAGAGCAGGGAGCCTGATGCGGGGCTCGATCCCAGGACCAGGACCATGGGATCACGACCTGAGCCGAAGGCAGATGCTTAACGACTGAGCCTCCCAGGTGCCCCTAAACATAAATTTTTAATAATGCTAACAGATGAAGTCACTGTTTTGTAATGACAGGACTAGAATACCACCCAGCAAGACTTTAAAAAATGCATCATTTTAGGGGTGCGTGGTTGGCTTAATCGGTAGAGCATTCGACTCTTTTAGAGAGAAAGTGCATGTGCGTGCAGGGTGGGGGACAAGTAGGAGGGTAGGGACGTCGTGGGTGGGGAGTGGCAGAGGGAGAGGGAGGGAATCCCAAGCAGACTCTCCACTGAGCACAGAGCCCGATGCGGGGCTTGATCCCACAACCCTGAGATCATGACCTGAGCTGAAATCAAGAGTCAGATGCTTAACCAACTATGCCACCCAGGCATACCTGAGCATGTGACTCTTGATCTCAAGGTTCTAAGTTTGAGCCCCACACTGGGTATAGAGATTACTTAAAATCTTCAAGAAAAAATGCATCATTTTAGGGGAGACATAAGGCTGCAAAGAACTAAAACCTGTGTGAAGGGTTTGGGTTTTCCAAATCTGACCGATGCAGGAAATGACATTTCTAAGAAGCAACTTTAGCCTAGATCCAGCCCTGTCCAAGAATCCATCTATAACCAAAATACCTTAACTCAGCTGGTTAGAGATGGTATTCTTTTTGTTTGGGGCCTTTAACCTGGAAAAATATCAAATATAGCTATAATCCTAGAATGATAGTTATTTTATTTTATTTTTAAAGATTTTATTTATTTGACAGAGAGGGAACACAAGCAGGGGGAGAGGGAGAGGGAGAAGCAGGCTTCCCGCTGAGCCGGGAGCCCGATGCGGGGCTCGATCCCAGGACCCTGGGACCATGACCTGAGCCGAAGGCAGACGCTTAACAACTGAGCCACCCAGGCGCTCCTAGAATGATAGTTTTTTAAAAAGTAAAGGAAATCATGAAGATGATGTTGATATTTAGCCTGAGAAATTAGTCCATGCCTTCTGTGCTGTCTGAGGTGTTTGCAATAATTAACCATGCCACATTTATAACTACAGGTTAAGCTGTTGAAGAGAATTACTTCTTTTGTGGTTGTGTTTTAGATGTGAAAAGAAAGATTGTAAAATTTGGTTCATAAGAGCTTACACTGAACATGAAAAAAGTACAGGGAGTGTGGGTTTGCTCTTCATGCCTGATGCTCCAGGACAGTTAGGACCTAGTCCACTCGGGAAAGATCTGGGTTCCGGAATCTGAGTGTGGGGCCCGGCCTTCCAACAAACAAGGATATCTTTTCTATTGTAGTAAGAGGACAGAGGCCCTGGGCATCTCTGTGAAGGTGCCAAGATCTCCAAGTGAGAAAAAAAAAGACAAATTGCACAACAAAACAGAGAGTGTCCACAAGGGGGAAAAGTCAACCCTAGTAAATCACATATGCATAGAACTCCTGGGAAAGAAAGATGACGAGATCCGCTCCAAACCCTTTACTGTGATACGTGTGGGGGCTGAGGGACTGTGTTTTTTGTTTGTTTTTTGTTTTTTTAACCTGATGTCAATGTTTGATGTGCAAATTCCTGTACAAGGTTCTGGGCAGCACCCAGTGCTCGGAGACAGAGACCACGCACTACGCCTCACGCTCACTCAGTGTCGCATACACGCACTCACCTCTCACAAAAATCCGATGAGGTTGCTACAGTTCTTACCCCATTTGACAGGTGAGGAAACTGAGCCCTAGGCAGGCTCCAAGTTAGTAGGTCAAGGAAACGGAGGCCTGGAATCCGGACGGCTTGACCTCCTGGAGCCTGTGTGCTTAATCAGAAAACTGCAGGGCAGCCCGCCCTACCCCGCTGACTCTCGGAAACAGTAACAAGACCAATCAACTCAGGTTGCCAGGAGAATGTGCCGAGCGAGCGACGTGGGAATCCCAAGGAGGAAGGAAGATACTCAGCGGCGTAGAGCATGCTGCCCACGGTGCCGTAGCTCTTGGCCGATACCCCGGAGAGCCGGGGGTTTGTGTTGCAGGCACTGGGGTACCACTGCTGGGTGTAAGCAAGGAACCCTGTCTGGGGACGCTGAGCGCAGTGGCCCTGAAGGCTGATTCTTCCCATGCTTGGTGGGAAGGGTGCCCCGAGGGACTAGAGGCTGGGACACCCTCGGGGGGCCTGGAGGTGACAGAGGCCAGGACCCGTCGCCATGAGATGGACAAGAAGGTTGTGTCCCCTCTAAAAGAAAGACCTCATACTTACAGCTCAGTAAGGCTGTTTTTTGGGTTTCTTAAAAAGGACGGGCTGTATAGATCTTGGTTCCGACGTGTAGGCATACCGGAGGGGTATTCCGATGTGTTTTCACTGGGGCCGGGGGGGCTTCTCTGAAACTAAAGAGGACTAAGGGTTGCATTGTGGCTAGGATCACCGACCGCAAATTATTCTCCACTATCCGGTTTTGCTCACCGTCATGATGGGAACTTCAGATAAGAGCTCAGGTTTGAAAACAGAGTGCCTCGGGCAGTGTGGTGTGTGGTGTGCAATGAGCACATTTCACACCCATTCCAGCCTTTGGCCCGCAGCAGGCTGAAGTGCTGGTGACCAGTGAACACAGGACCCACCGTGGACAGAGTGGGCCCTGCGGGGCTTCTCCCAGCAGGCCTTGCTTTTCGGGATCCTGACACCAGCTTTATGCACAGCTCCTGGGTACCCATTTTCTCCTGGCTGAGGTATAGAGTACGTTTCCCTTTTTCTTAGGTCTACATTGGAACCCCAGAAGGAACTCAGCTGAGGAAAGTCAGGGAAACAACCCACAGAAATGAATGAATGATGGTTTTGAAGGGTGCTTGGTTCCTGGAATTCAGGGGGCTGTTCTTGCCTCATGGCTCAGGCTACCATCCCTGTTGCACCTGTCCCTACTGACAGTTTCCAGGGACACAGGACAAAACCCAACACTGGCCTTTGTCTTTGGTGCCGGTCACATTTTGTCCTTACCTGGCTAGCCCTACAGTTCCTATCTCTCCTAAGTTGTGGATTTGATCCAGGATGCCCTTGGCAGTGGTCTTAAATGGGCTTCGCCTTAACTGCCAGAGGCAAAATCCCATGGGTGGTACCTCCAGCCTCTTCCTAGTGGTGCGACTCCATGCTTGGAACCTGAGAATCTTGGAACACGGAAGGATTGTGAGGCTGCATTCTGTCCCCTGCCTGGTTCCTCCTGGGCCCTCCAGCCCCGCGATGGCTCCTCCCCGGGGGCCTTCTCCTCCATCACTCCTTCATGTCAGCCACTGCCTGTCTTCTGCGGGAGCATAAGGGGGCAGTTCCCAGCCCCGTCCTCAGGCTCCGTCCCCGCGCCCAGGAGCAGCCCCCTGAAGCTAGCCATGACAACGGTGCAAGCAGCAGGTAGGGGCCACGGGGCAGGGTGGAGCGGGCTGGCCCGAAGGAGAGGGGCTGAGGATGGGGAGGGGCCTTCAGCAGAGGTGGCCTCTCTTCCTGGGGACCTCAGCCCGCTCAGTCCTCCAAGCTGGCTGGTTTCACAAAGCTCCTTCACGAAACCACGTCAAAGCCTCAGCCTCTTCTGCTTCACTCTGCAGCTTGCAGAAGAACCAAGTTCTGGGTGTCACTGGCCAAACAGAATAAGGGCTGAGAGAAGGAGGCCTTGGAGGCCATGCCAGGGGCTGTAAAAATCATCTGGGGCAGCTCACAGAGGTCCCTCGTGGCCCCAAGGAGGTGACCTCTCATCTCAGCTTGGGAGTGGTCATTTGCTTTCCCCCAACCACAGAAGAGTCCCAGTTGTCACCGAATTCAGTGCTCTGGTAAATGGTAACAAGCTCACCTTGGTTTCTCTTTACTGTCATGAATTAAACAATGGTGACAGATTTCAAAAGGAAATACCTTTTGCAAATCTGAGTAACTTTCAGTGACCTCTGGGAGAGGGTAGAAAAGGTACTTTTTTTCCCCCCCTGAATGATACTCTGTAATCACGAAAACCACTGAGATCCCAAAGGGCATCAATCATCTTCATGGGCATCTTCCCTATACTCTAGGCACTCTTGGCTTTTTAAAACCAGGAATGGCTTTCTGGAATGATCCAGACCTACTTCTAGCCTGAAGGGGGATGCACTTCATGGTCTATGGGCCAGAGCTCAATTCTGGAGGCCGGAGGATCTAAGTTTGAATCCTTACCAGCCACATGACTTGGGCAAGGTCAGCGGTTTTGAGCACCTACCGTCCCAGGCACTGGGGAGACAGGGAGAAGGCACCATCCCGGCCCACAGTGGGCCTCACTTAGTGGAGAGAGAGGTGCTTTCCTTATATGTCAACTGGGGGAAATAAAATCTGCATGTCCTGGCCCTGATCTGAATCCCCACACACAACAGCATGACAAAGGTTGGGTTTCTCCCTGTCAGTTCCATCCAGGAATGGTGATGCTGTCGTTGTGGGAGATGAGAAGGTAGACATGCCCCCACGGAGGAGACATTGTTAGAGTTTCGAGAGGCTGCTTGAAGCCTTAGTATAAGAGAGCCTGGCTTACAAAGGTTAAGTGACGAGCTCAGACAAGAGCTGTTCTCAGTTTGTAGAAATCTGGACGGCAACCAGCTGTTGTTCCAACCTCAGCCCACTTCCTCTGGGCGCTGCCCTCAACATCCATGAGAGAGAGAGAGAATTTGGCTACAGTTTTTTTGGACGCCCCCCTGGCCCCAATCAAGAAGTCTTGGAAAAGCACCCTGTTCGGTGACTCTGCATACGGCAGAGATAAAGGCGTTAAGTTAATTTTGCATGTGGTTGCCACAGACGTGTTTGACTGCCATGTTTTTGCCCATTATTAGTCCAGATACATTGGTTATCATCCATTAATACTGAGCTGCTTTTCAGGGGTTTTGGGTACAGCTACTTGGAAACTTATTTAGCTAGAAACTTGCTATCCAGAATTTGCTCTTTGTTCGTGTGAGAATTGCTGGAAGATGTTGACTTAGACATTTTTTATGTGTCATTGCATGAGTGTGTTCTACCGGGTAGACCTACGCAGCAAGGACCACCTCTTAGAGAATGAAGGGCGTAGTATGGAATTAAATATGGTAATATATATATATAGATAGATGAGAATTACCCTGTGACCCAGCGTGAAATTGTCACCTGTATTGCATAGAAACATATGTACTTAATTTATAAAATATTTAGAAATATTTGCCTAGTAGAATTATAAGGCTTACCACCAGCTTACCATAAAACTTAAAACTTAGTGCTCATCTAAGATAAACATTTAGCAAATATTTGGTGAGCGCCTTCTCTGAGCCAGGCGCTTGTAATTGGTTACAGCCTTGGATTTTGAAATATTTACTGCTGCTTGCCTTTTTTTTTTTTTTTTTTTTTTTTTTGCCACAATCCCAACCATGTGAGATGCTAGTTTCCTGAATGTGCAAGACACTCACATGATGGGTAATCAGCAGTCTGCAAAAAAGGACATGGATCCTTGTTTAGTTTCCTCTGGCTACATCTGAGGAGAGTCCTTGGTGACTGTCAAGGTCTGGAGGACAGTGGCACCTCCCAGGCAGGGGCCAGCACGTGGACGGCCTGACCAGGTCCCCTGCAGAGCGCTCCCAGCAAGGACCTGTACACATAGCAATTAAAGTCATATTTCCTCACTTTTATGGACGTGGCAATACTAAAAAAAAAAAAAAAAATCAATGTCTGCGTGATATGAACATGCAGAATTTCAGCTATCTGAAAAATGTGCACAGAGGAAGGTATGTTCCAACTCTTCAATCGGAGTGTATTTCTGGTAAAATCGGCAGTGGCTGGCTTTTCCCGTGCACTTTGCGTGGAGGCAGGGTACCGGGATGACTAGTACCGGGATGACAGGAATGCTGATGTGGGATCTGAAGATCCACCTTTCCTGGCTGGGAGACCTTGGAAAAGTTACAGGACCTGAGTCAAGCAGTTCAGGGCCATCCAAGCCTACTTCATGGGTTGGCCCCGAGGAAGAACTGAGGTGTTTATAACATCGACTGAGTAAATTTAAAGATCAAATTGACTGTATTCAGTGACTCGTGAAGGGGGCAGCATCCCATCGTGCAGATAGAAAGGAGCTCCAGAGAGCTGCACAAAATGGGAGACTTGTAGGCAGAAGGGGGCAGGGCAAGGAGAGAGCAGATCGCTTTCTCTAAGGGGTTAGAAGGGTTCTGTCATGTGGGTCACCTCACTACCGCTGGCCAGGGAATTCCAGATGGACTGGTTTAAAACTGCACTCCTGGGAAGGGCTGAAGCTGCAGTTTGGCTGGGTATTAAGTCTTGGTTTGCTGACATGGGGCTGAGCACAAGTGACTCCATTCGGGGCTCATCTCTTTTTTGTAACATAGGTGAGATTATTCCTGGTCCCGCTCTGAAGTAGCATCACTGGTCTCGGTCAGCGCTTACACTGCCATGTGGTCAAATCCTGACTCTCTAGCCTCGCCAAGTGCCCATTCTCCTCGGTAACTTCCCTACTTCCTCTTCTTTCCTGGAACCCCAGCACCCCTCCCCTATCCTCAGTCTCACTGCTGACCTTGCTTCCTGTGTCATACAGAAAACAGAAGCATTCAGAAGAATGCTCCCACATGCTCCACCTTCTCCCATTTCTGTGGGTGACGCTGGGATCCCAGCACGGGGCCCCTTCTCCCCTCTTTCTCCCATATCCTCCCTCTTCCTAAGAGGATTGTTCCCACCAGGATATACACGTGCTGTTACCGTCCTTCCCCTCAGAACACAAGTAAACAAACCGAAGCTGGTCCTTCTGGTCTCACGGCTGACTCTGACCTCCCTCCAGGCTCTGCTCACCTTCTCGATGCGCCCACTCCAAACACCGATGCAGGATCCCACACCACTGCACCGCCTTGGTCACCTGACCCCCATCCCTTGACCCTGCTCATTTCTTCCCTATAGCACTCACCACTTTCCATGACTGCCTCCACCCCCAGTGGAGTGTAGCTCCACGAGGCAGGATGTTGCCAGCTTTGTTGCATCCTGGGCAGAGTATGTGCTCCATAAATACTTGTTGAGTGGGTGATCGGCTGTCAGCCACTCAGACTGTCTCATCTTTATCATAAGGCTAATGCTTCGTAGTTTTCTTCCTGCACAGCCTTCCTTTGGTTAGGTGTTTCTTCGGGATATGCATGCACAGAGTCAGCCTGTCTGGGCCTGGCCTCCCCACATGTCCCCTCCAGACAGCTTCTTCTGGTTCATGTCCATGTTCTGGCAACATGGTCACCTGGGCCAGAAACCCGAGCATCATGCCTATTCCACATCCGTCCAGGAGGTGACCAAGTCTCAATGGGCTCTTGACCTCTCTTTCCCCTTTCCTCTCCATCTCCACAGCTGTCCCTCCCTCCTTGATTCCCTGCCTCTGAACTACCCTCTTCACTGCTGCCAAAGCCATTTTTTTCTAATGTGCAAATCTGATGCTGCTCCTCCCCTGTTTAAACTCTGGCCGTTCTGCTGTAAGCTCTAACGGGATGCTATCTCACCTCCAGCATCTGGGCCCCACCTCTTCTGGCCAGCCCCACCCTTGCTTACTGGAGACCCTCTCAGGGTTCGGATCACACCAAGTGACTCAGCCTTGGCAGGCAGTGGGCTGCTCTTTGGGATGGGAGTTCATGCTACCTGGAATGCTGGTCCCCTGGTCCCTTGGGCCAAGTCACCACTGGCATTCTAGATGGGACTTCTACCCTGGTCCTCTTAGGGCACCCAGGGTTCATGGGCACCCCTAACCCTCTCACTGCACATACCTCACTGCACTGCCATTGTAGTTTACTGTCTGACTCCCTACCACACTGCTTCTTTTGTGTGTCCCTGGCCTGTCATCTTTGTCCCCCTCCCCCCCCCCCCCAGGCCTTTCAAGGCAGAACCCAGGATAACAGGTCACACTCAGCGTGCTCCTGAATGAAGGGGCAGGACCTATTTTGTGTCTGTGAGCGATGTCCACCAAAGTGATGTTGGGAAATCCCAAGCCATGCCCTCTCATTCATGAACATGGATTTCCAAGCTAGGGGACACCGCTGGGGTGGGGGTGGGGGGGGAATCAATTATTGGAGGAGAAGGGAGCCAGAGGCCAAGGATTTTGTGGAGTTTGAATTAGTAAACAAAGGCACATGAAGAAGGGAAAATTAACCAGGAAACTGAAGGGACATCAGCCAACTTACCTTTGGTCCAATAGGTGAGCTACCTCATGAGCAGTTGCAAGGTGGGGAAGGATGGGGGCCCATTGGGGTGTCCACAGCTGCCCAGGTGTCAGCAGGCTTGACCCAAGCCCACTTTTCCCTGGTTGGTGAGGTTGGGGATGCACCCCTGTTCTTCCTTGGTGGGGCTCTCACACTGTGGGGCCATCTCTCTCTCAGGCCAGGACCCCTGCTGGCCACAAAGTCCTTGGCCACTCTCGTCCAGTCTCCATTCTTTTTTTTTTTTTTTAAGATTTTATTTATTTATTTATTTATTTATTTATATGACAGAGAGAGACACAGCTAGAGCAGGAACACAAGCAGGGGGAGTGGGAGAGGGAGAAGCAGGCTTCCCGTGGAGCAGGGAGCCCGATGCGGGGCTCGATCCCAGGACCCTGGGATCATGACCTGAGCCAAAGGCAGACGCTTAAGGACTGAGCCCCCCAGGCGCCCCCCAGTCTCCATTCTTGACCTGGCTCTCCCCTAATGCTAGTCAGGCCCGCCCCTCATTTCTCCCCCACAGGATGCTGGGGTGATGATGACCAGTACAGGAGATGGGCTTTGAGGAGCTAAACTTGTAACCCAGGGATAAGATGGTCTCTGAGGAAAAGTTAAAAATAAGGTGGGGTCTGAGATGTCCTTAGTCCTCATGCTAGATCAATCTGCAGGTCACATGAAACACCAAATGCTACAGAAGGCCCTGGAAAGGCCTAGAGGAGCTACAAATTTGAGGGGCTTTAAGCTTTCAGATCCTTCTTTTCCAAGTTTTATTACAAGCCCATTAAGCATTGGCGGGCAGCAATAAAAACGCCGAAGCCGAGGGCACCCGACCTAGTGGTTGGTCTTTGCGTCAAGTTTAGGCCACTCCCCTTGCCTGAGCCTCGGCACCCGGGCTGTAGCCTGGGACTATTAAGTACCTCCCGGGTTGTTGTGACGATTAGCAAAACCGACGAACAAGGGAGGGACGGTGCTTGTCACGAAGCAGGTGCTCAATATTTAGGGTTTTGTCCCCCAGCGGGGAATTATTTGTCATCAGCGGCTACAACTCCTAGAAATCACCTAATTTAATTCATCAAGAAGAAATCCGAGGGCCTGAACATCAGCTGAGCGCGAGCAGGCAAGGCTGAGAAGCACGCCCTGCTTCTTCCTGCAGGAGCTTGCACTTCCACCGCCCCGGGCCGCCGCCCTGATCGGGATCCCGGGTCGCTCGGAACGCGGAGCCCCCGGCCCCTCTGCCCCGAAGCGGTGACAACCAGGAGACGGCCGGGGGACTCGCCCCTCCTGGACTCCCCTCCTGGCCGCCCCGGGCTCCTGCCCTTCCCCGCGGTGAGTGGGCTCGGGCCAAGGGGTCTCCGCGGGGAGATGGGTGGGCGGGCCCAGGCGCTGGAAGGGGCGGAGTCCGCGGGCCGTAAAGGTCGAGACCCCCGTGCGGCACCTCCTCGCAGTCGTGTGTGTGGCGCGGAGTCTCCTCGTGGCAGCGGTCTGTGGGGCCGCGGAACTGGGCCGAGGAAGAGCGCGGGGTCACGGCCGGCAAGCGGCCGACCGGGGGCCGGGGCGGGCGCGGCCCCTTTAAGACGCCGCGCCGGCCCCGCCCCGCGCCGCACCCCCGCCGGGAGCCGCGCCACGTGACCCGGGTCTTGTGACTGGCCGGGGGGAGGCGCGGAGGGGAAGCCCGCGGCGCCCGCCTCGGAGAGGGGCCCAGCCCCGCAGCCGCCGCCGCCGCCCGCGAGGAGCGGGTCCGCCGCCGGGTCCGGGCGTCCGCGCGAGTCCGAGCCGGCGCGGGAGCGGGCGTCCTTGCGGGAGTCCAGGCGGGAGCCGGGGCCGGGCGCGGTGGGCGCCGCCCGCCATGGACCACAAGCCCCTGCTGCAGGAGCGGCCGCCCGCCTACAACCTGGAGGCCGGCCAGGGCGACTTCGCGTGCGGCCCGCACGGCTACGGCGCCATCCCCGCCGCGCCCCCGCCGCCGCCCTACCCCTACCTCGTCACAGGTGCGCCCGGCGGCCGGGGGCTGCGGGCCGGGGTGGGGGCCGGGGTCGGGGCTGGGCGCCGGGCCCGCGGCCCCGGGAGCAAACTTTGGGCCCGGTCCCGTGGGGACCTTTAACCCCGAAAGCAACTTTTCTCCGGACACCGCTGCGGCGGGGGGCGCGGCCCGACCGTGGGCGGGGGGCGGTGGGAACCCCCGCGCGGGCACTGCCGGGGGGCCGCCCCGGGGCCGGGAACGCCGAGCTCGTGGGGCCGGGTGGCTGGGGAGTCCCCGCACCGGGAGCCCGCTGTCGGGCGCTCCGCCGACCTGGGGGGTCGCGAGCCCCGGGCCCGCCCGTCCCGGGAAGCGCCGCGCCCGGTTTCCCATTAACTTCGTTAACCAGGTGCTGTCTGCAGATTAGCACCCAGTAAAGCCCATAACGGGCACTTAGTGGAGGCGGGCCGTTGTCTGGATTTTGGAAAGGATAAGTTTGGGTGCGGGGGCGGGCTGGGTGTCGGGGCGGGGGGACGACAGGAGAAGTAGCCCTCAAACTTCCCAGTTTTCCTCCCGGCCCCCTTCTGATGTGCCTTCCTGCCCACAGGGATACCCACCCACCACCCCAGGGTCTACAACATCCACAGTCGAAATGTCACCAGGTACCCTGCCAATTCCATCGTTGTCGTTGGAGGCTGTCCAGTTTGCAGGTATGTCACAGGCCGGGGGCTGGTCCCCAGAGCCTCAGGAAGGCAGACTCGCCGGGGGCGGGGGGGGGGGGGGCAGTCTTGGGACAAGCTGCTGACCTGCGGTGTGGGCGAGAGTGGGTTCGTTTGTCCTTAGGTCTCACATTGTTTCATGGGTCATCGGGGAGGGGTTCCCTTTCCTGCGGAGTTGAGTGGTTTGGGGGCCCTTGGGTCCCAGATGAGTGGGATGCAGGAATGTTAACACCTGGTGTCCCTGGTTCTGGAACCTGCAGTTGATTCTTGAAGGTGGTGGAAGGTTTCCTTTTACTGGGAAGGGCAGCTAGAAGTGCCCTGGCAGCAGAGCCCTGACTCAGATGGCCAGTGTGTCCAAGGATCCCGAGGTCCAGGAGGCCAGGGGAGCAACATCCGCCGCGCGGGGCCGTTGGCTGGAGGAGGATGGAAACACTGTGGTTCTTTGTGTGGGGCAGGAGCCGTTTTTCGTATTCTCAAACCAAAGCCTCCAGGGTCCTGCAACTGGTTTTATAGGGTCCGAGCTGCAGCTGGCTCCATGCTTGTTCTGTGTGGGTCATGAGGGTTCACATTCAGATAAGACTTGGTCCTTGCCTGCTTGATGCAAGAGTGCAGGTCTTCAGCTTGTCTGGGACAAGGAAGTTGAAGTCTCGGAGATGGAATTGAGAAACGTCGGTTCACACTGAGACTTAACGTCAAAGGTGTATCTGGAAGGCCTGGAGCAGAGTCAAGGGGAAGTTAAAGATTTCAGAGTCACAGGGGTCAACTGTGTGGGCGGGGGAGGGCTTCACAGAGATGGGGGGTAGGAGGCTGCACTCCCAGAGCCTAGTAGAGGGGGCTGTGGGCCAGCTGGGGACCTTGTCTGTCAACTCAGGACAGGTGTGTCTTCTGATACAGCCTTTGGGGGAACGTAACGGGGGTTGGGGGAAAGACAGATCACTTGCACCCTCCTGGACACCACTCTCTCCACGGGCATCTGGGGGCATCACAGCTGTTGGGGTTTGAAGGTACAAAGGTGGGAAGAAGGGGCGTGGGCCTGGGAGCTCCCCGAAGGCTGCTTGGCTGGGCGGGGGTCAGGACTCGGTCGCCTGTGAAGAGAGCCACTGGGAGTCTCGGGGGGGTGTGTGCAGAGGTAGGTGATGGGAACCCCGCTGTCTTTGGCTTTGAGGCTGGCGCTGGGTGCTCAGAGCCCTGGCTGTGTGCACAGTCCTTCTGTCCCCACGCGGGCCAGCTGGAGGATTCCAAGGGCCTATTTTTGGGCGGGAGAGTCTTTGAGTGCTCTCCCGAGTTTAGGAAGGTGTCTGGGGCAGAGCAGTCCGGCTGCGATTTCAGTGTCTCCACGCCATGGCTGCGTGTTGTGTCCAGCCAGTTCCCAGCCTGCTGCCGGCGCTGCACTCAGATCCCGGCCGTTTTCCCACCTGGGAAGTGGGGGTGTCTTGGGGTGCTCTTTGAAGCCCTTCCTGGCCCAAGTGCCTGTGCTCAGACCAGCGCAAGGCCCCCGTGGCTGCCGGGTGGGGAGCACTTTCCTGGCTACTTTCCTTCTCCCCCCCGGGCGGGAGCTCTGTCATGTCGGAGGCCTGTGGCTTCTGCTCATGGGGTCCCGGAGCCCCACTCCTGCAGAATCTGGATCAGGGTCAGCTGCCTGAAGGCTGAGGTGTGGGGCGCCGGCAGCGGGACAGGCTTTTCATGTCGGGCTCACCGTCCTCCCTGCCTCTGGGTGGTAGCACTGAGGAGGGGGTGCTCTGAGAGCAAGTTTGGGGACGGAGTTGGGACCTAACGCGCTGATTCCCTCTTGGCCTGTCCCCGTGATCCCTCTCGCCTGCGGACTGAGGAGGATGGGTGCTGGCAGTAAGGGCCGCCCCCAGCACTTGGGTGCTTCATGTGGGAGTGTCCCCACCCTCCGCCGCTGGAGAGCGGGCAGCCCCTTGGCCCCGGGAGGCCAGCTTCCTAGGCAGTGGGCGGGCGAGCAGGGGGCCTGGGAGATGGGCAGTGGGAAGGAGGGAGAGGCCGGCGCTTCCCAAGGAGGCTCTCCTGTGGTTTGGGGAGCGGGTGCGTGGCCCTGGGGCGGCTCCCCTCTGGGGAGAGCGGAGAGGTGTCCCCTGGGGCACAGTCCGGCGAGGCCACGGTCTGGCATCTGGAGTTGGGAGACGGCCACTTGTCATGTGAACACACTG